TTGTCCAGAGCCTCGGCAGTTGATTTTATGATGATATTTCAGTGATAACTTATGTCTTCGAACAGGATTTCAGGAGTTGCAGGCCGTCGTAGTAAAGACCGCCCCTGAGAATTGAATATCGGTCCGAGTTTCAATCACCAAGAACGCCAGCGTTACCTACATCTGAGACCCCAAATCTGTTGTGGCACCTGAGAAGCAGCCAGCCTCGGACTACACGAAGTTGCAAAGCCACATTTCTCACACTTGAGGCAACGCATTCCAGACTAAATCGAATGGCTTTCTCATCTTTGCGGGGCTGTGACATGATGATAGGTTGTAATGCCAAACGCCTTTCCGGGAAGGCTGAAATAGACTCGCATATTATTCGTCCAACGTCGCACAAAGGGTCCAGACTCTCAATTGCGGGTAAAGATTCCCTTGATAGGACTCAATAAGCGCATCCCACGAAAAAGTTTCAATCGTACGAACAGGTGATGTCGCTGATGTCCGAGCACGTATGTCACTATCAACAGTGTCAAAGCTCAGACTTACGTGGCAATCAAGGTGAAACTAGTGAATAGTAATCACGAGGATCCTGGTATTTGGAATTATTCCACTTTAGTGTTCGCGGCACGGCAAGTTCATCCAGCGCTCGAGCTACGCTGAACAGAGCGACCGGCAAGCTCATCTTGGTCTAGGCGCCGGGGTAACGTGGATGCTTCCGCCACTCTGCATGGTATTTGATTGATTGATTTGAAACCATCAACTTCTCGCCACTCGGTGAGATAGATCTCTCCATGGTATTTACTGGGTATTCGCCAATCGCCAGATTGATCTTAACACACTGGTATCGATGTGCCGAGAACTATAGGCAGAGTTGTGGGTTCAATGAAGGCGTGGCTAAGTTCGAGCGACTTCGATAATGAATAGTGAGTGCAATGTATGAGAATTAATAGACAGGAAAGAGGACAATTTAATGGCCTACGATGAAGCCTCGGCCATTAGAATCCGCATGCCGACATTCTATGATGTAAATCAGCCTTAAAGATACAAAGTCTCGAGTCCGGCAAAAGGCAATATCTAGATCAGATTCATAGTTCTGCCGTCATTACATTCCACGTTCTTCCTAATCAGTCATTTCAGCACGGCTTCATTGGTCAAGCAAGTGCCGACTTCCTTTAGTCCTTTGTCAAGCCTTGTCTAATGTCCTTCAAAGATTTGATCTGCTTTCCGTTTGTATCAAAGTTGTCTTCACTGAGCCAAGCCTCAAACGCCTTCTTAACAAGAGGCCACTCCTCGTCAGTAATGCTGAGCCAGGCAGTATCTCGACGCCTTCCTTTGAGAACCATATGCTTTCTATATCAACACATTAGCAAGGGTTCTCCGGATGGGATCTACGATAAATACCTGAAGATACCCTCAAAAATAAAGCCCAGTCGCTCAGCAGCTGCGAGACTAGGCTTGTTGAGATGATTGGCTTTCCACTCGACTCGTAGATAACCAAGATCCTCAAAGGCATGCTTGATAATCAGATAAAAGGCTTCAGTAGCAGCACGTGTCTGTTTCAACTGAGACCCAAAGATGATGCTCCCAATTTCAATCCTTCTATGGCTTGGAACGATGTTGAGATAAGACATTTGCCCAACAGGTTCAGACTTGGGGTCATTTCGTGGCCCAGAGAGAACAGTATAGAATAATGGATCCTCGGACTTGCTGAATCCTTCAACAGCCTCTCTCCATTGTTGCTGATCAAGGTATGGTCCTCCAAACATATATGTCCAAAGATGACCGTTTTCCTCGCCGCCGAGGTGCTTGTAGCTTGGATCGGCGTGAGAGGGTTCCAATGGGATAAGGGAAGTGTAGCGTCCGTCAAGGGACCCACGAGAGGGTGCAGACGCGCTACCCGGGGGGGTAATTGGACCAACTGGTTGTTCACTCATGATTGTAGACGTCGAGTATAGGACTTGGGTTCGCTTTCGAGTGTTTGGAACTCTTGGGCTTAATAGTTGAAGCTCGGGGCTCGGATCCGAGAGAACACAGAGTTCGGGGCTTAACTCCGAATGTGAGTCAGCCTATGACTACGCCCTCTGGTTGAGTGCTCCAGACAGACAGTGAGTCACGCAATTTATGATAGCCAATTATGGTTAATCCGTCGTATTAGGGACTTGCCAATACTAGAAGCTCGATTGAGACACAGGAGCCTATCAAATGTCTCGGCCAAACGCCCTGCATGACAAGAAAGTATCGGTAATCTGGTGGCGTAGACGTTACCATCATACACGATGGTATGGGTTTCAAAGCGGCGGTCTATTCTGTTTTGATCATCATACAATGTACAGTGAAGGTATTTATTTTCTTGTTTACAATCTATCCAAGCTTCAAGGAGCACTTGATTTTCGTTCAATTATGATGGTCGTCAGATAACTTGACATATGTTATGCCACCTCAAAAACTGGTATCAAATATGTTGCATTTATAAATAAGTCTTGTTTAAGTTTCAAAGCCTTAGGTACCCTGCTTATTATTATATGAGCTATAAACCCCCTGGTGTTTCTGGCAATTCATGACTTCTTTATTTCTTATGCGCTTTCATATTCCCCTTTACTAAATGGTTTTTCGTTTTAGTTTTCGATCCAGGCTGACTCTCCTATATCTTTACATCTGAGTATGATAATCACAATCGCATTGAGAAACAAATACGGGAGACTTCTCGGTTCCCGTTATGTTGGTGAGTTGATGTAAGTCATTGGCAAGTAATCTTCACAGCCATAATGAACTCATCATGTACCCTGGAGCCACTTTTCGGAACCTGGGAGCGGCTTGCTTGACAATCGAAGGATTCGCCAAGCCAGCAACTCCCAATCATACAGCACAGCGCTACAAGGAACTTGTTATGGAAACGTCATGTGAATACTGCGCCTTGCTAATAAATGGCGACCGACGCTACATCCCCAAAGTTGGGATTCAGCCTTACAATCTACGAAAAATTGATTAAAATTTAAATAACGAGATTTCCACTTGCAGCTCGAATAATTCTTTCTAGAATCTTTCAAGTACCTCAGATATTGATTTTAATCTACCTTAAGCGATATACAAGATGACAGACACGAAAGACCTTGGCAAAGCTGGTCAAACAATAGACGCTTCCGCATCAAAGCCAACAGCGCTTCCTCCTTCATACGATATCACTCTATCTCAATCTGAGTCTCTACAAAAAGATCAATCACAAGCCACGGAGGACTTTCCTACTCTTGTTCTTGATGGCACAAAGATCCATTCCTTATACGCACCCAATCGCATACTCTATCAACTTAGCAACGCACCATATGACGCCACGCGGAAAATCTATGCCATTGAGAAACTCCGATACCGCATGACGAATGGCGACGCTGAACAGAAGCTAAAACACACTGTCGATCATATCTACGACTTCAGGCACGGCATCTCGATAGAATCGTACAAACAAATCACCATCCTGGGACAGACGAGTCGGAAGCGTACTTATCCCAACATGATCATGCACCGCTGTCTCAATGGCTGCCACACGATTTGTGAAGGTGGCCAAGTGAAGGTGGCCCCAGACTATGTACTTAAAGCAGAGTCTCCTCTGAAAGATCGGCTGAATCAAGGGAAGAACAACACCACCATATGGAAGGATGAGAAGGGAGAGGTGGTTGCCATTGAGACGAAACTCCAACGTGATGAGAATGGTATCATACAAGAGCTTCCAAGGCTTGCCATCAAGGCTAGGGCTGAAGAAAAGCTGTATGATCTGTTGGTCACTTCTTGGTGTGCACATGTCTGGAAGGATGCCCAGAAGGATTTGAAAGAGCCAATGAGTTGGGATAAATGTGAGCCACAATATTGTCACCCATTTTGAGGATCTTGACTGACCAATGACTCTAGTCAAACGAATTGCGTCGACCATGCCAAATAAAGCCGCAGGTATATACGGCGGCGCTGGAATTGGTGGCTCTTCATTAGGCTTCTAATCTGTTCGAAATGCGCACATCAGAGATGTGATAATGTGATAGCGAGATTACAAAATACGAAAAATTATTCGATTAAATCATCGGCTTTCCTGTCGCCTGTGATATTGTCCGAGCGCTTCTTATTCGTGAAGTGCTTTGGCCTCGTCACACGGCTCGGCTTGATATTGTATAAAATAAATTGTCTCATCACAATCAAACAGCTTCGCGCCCAACAATTCTTTCAGCGCCACTGGCTTATCGTGCACATTGGCGAGGCTAATAAGGCCATTTTGAGTTCAAAACGTCTCTCAATCTAGCGAAAATTGATCTCGGTTAACCGCCCACTGAGACTTGGCTGGGATATTTATCCTGAAGCACAAACACGGCAAATCCCGCGATTCTTCATGATACTTCGTTGATGCAACGCAAGCGGTGCAATTGGACCCTGAATCGGATGTCAAACAACTCTGATCGTTTGCACGGATAAAAGCTAATCGTCTAAATATGGATTGTTCGTTGTTTGTGCATGGATGCGTTCATAATGTTCATGATTATCGACCAGGATTCACGATTTGCATAAACACGGGCTGACCGATATAACCTTATGCTATGCTTAATACAGCTCTCCACTCGTCAGAACAAGCAAAGAGCTCGTATTGTTTCGTGAAACTTGGCTCATCACCTGCCAAGATAACAGTTCCCGCGCATCGTCCAAAGCCTCCCGTGAAATAACCCAAGAACTAAAGGGCTCGAACAACGGGATCATGCCCAAACAAACGCTCGTGGAAAGAGTCCGGTGATGTTTCCATCGGAAATGTGCCCCTTTTAGTGTCCTCGTGGCGTGAGCTAGCCCCAAAATCAATTTCTCTTGGCGGACGTCGGTGGTAATTTAACTAAACGACCAGGGGCAGGGAAGCCAACAGCTCCTCTAGGCGAGATGAATAAAATGAAGGGCCACCCCTAGCTTCTTCAGCTGGATCTCAGCTGTTCTTTTGCTGGTCTTGGTCACGTTTCTGAATGAAGTCGTAGATGGAGGGCAAAGAGTCCAAGATGGCTCCGACAAGTCGCATCGCCTTTTTGGCGCTGTCGTTCCTCCTTTCAGGCCGTTTCGCAGCAGCTGGTAAGCAGACGTTCGAACAACAGCCCCTGAGATGAACAGCCACTAACACGCGATTGAACGCGCTAGAATGCGAAATTTCTGGCAATTACACAATTATCGCTGCACCCGACGACCAAGATGGAGTTCAATCCTGCAAAGATGTCGATGGCTCTTTGTCGCTCCTCTTCGATAAGGATCCCTCTTCCTGGCCATCCGATAAGGCCACGGTAGATCTCGGCGACATCAGTTCACTTACCGGTGACCTTGTCATTTATCCCCACCACGATTCGAAGAAGACGGTTGTCACGGCGTCGAGTCTGAAGACAATTGAAGGAGCCCTTACGATATGGAACACAGGAACCGGGAAGGACCACACGATTGAGGAGTTCGACCTGGTATTCGGCGCGTTAGAGGAAGTGGGCAAAGATTATGTTATCACGGAAGCTTTTGCCAAGCTCTCACTTGAGCACAAGGCTGATATCACAGTGGGAGGTATGGCGAGAGTCTACGATACCGATGTGGAGGAGTTGCAGTTGAACGGAGTGTATACCGTCAATGGAGACTTCTCAATCGACTCTAATAGCGATATGAAGGAGCTCGATGTCCCGGCGCTTACATACGCTAATAAGGGCCTTATTGTCAAGGGCAACAATGCTCTTGAGAAGGTCTCATTTGCAAAGCTGGAGGGGGTCAAAGGAAATATGCAGTTCAACCAGAATGGTGCGCTGCAGACTATTTACCTCGCTGCCCTGGAGTCAGCTGCAACCATGTCTATCACCGCCAACGGAAATGATGCTACCGTGCTGCTGCCTTGGCTGTCGTCCATCGGAAACAGCACTACTACTGCGACCTCAGACTTCAGCGGACTTGGCAAGATTGAGTTTTCGTCCCTACGCACTGTCAATGGTTCACTGACCTTTGAGTCTAACTCGTTTGAGGATCTTACTATTCCTTTGATCAAGGAGATGAATGGTGGCATTACTGTGGAGGACAACCCTTCTCTGACGACGTTTGCTTTGCCGAGAGTTACATACGTGGATGAACTAGACATCAGCAGCAACGACAAACTCACCAATATTACAGCCAACGCTCTCAAGTCTGCTGGCACAATTGCGATCAAAGGATCGTTCACAAACGTGGAGTTCTTCAACCTCAAGAAGGTTACGGGAGATTTCAAGGTCGTCGGTGATGAGTCTATGGACTGCAGTTGGTTTGATGCCAATATCAAGAGCATTGTTGAAGGAAAATACACATGTGTCGGAGATCACGACAAGAAGGAGAGAAAGCCTAGTACTGGAGGCATTGAGGATACCGAGGGTAACCCCAAGGATTATATGACATCCCCTGACGATGATGGAGGTAATAGTGGTAGCGGCAGTGGCAGCAGTGGAAGCGATAGTGGCTCGGGCAGTGGAAGTGGAAGTTCCGACGGTGACAAAGAAGGCTCAAAGGGAGGGCTTTCAACAGGTGCAAAGGCCGGCATTGGCATCGGCGTTGCGATCATCGTTGTTCTCCTTATCGTTGGCGGGGTTATGTTCTGGCTCTGGCGCCGCCGTCAGACCGCAGCACCCGGTGAAAAGCGCCTCGGCAGCAGTGGCAGCGGCTCAACCAAGAAGGGCATCTTTGATGGGCAGCAAATGGGTGTTCAGACAAAGATCGAGGCCACCAACCCCAGCCCGTCTCCTAGCATCGGCACTTTGAATTTCGGCCGCAACTCCCTCATCGAGTCGACTGGTGGCTTTACCGAGAAGAGTCTCAATGCCTGGAAGACGATCCGAAGAGTTAGTGTTTCTTCGGGTGGTTCTTCGACTGTCAAGGAGGGAACTAGTATTCTCAAGGGTTGAAGAGGAGAGAACGGGACAGAACAGAACAGATAAGATGGCGAGTGTTTTAAAATGCAATTCAGCGTATAGTGATACCACAGTCCTTCAATAGACATCAGCAGGAAGCGGCCTGCATCTCTTTTCATAGGGTAATTTTAATATTATTAGGTTAAACAGTCTATCAGAATTCACTCACTCACCTCACTCGTCAGTCCACTATCTATCGTACATGATAAGGGAACGTCAGCTAGTTACGACCCCAATTAAACTGAACCGCTTGACCCTTAAATTTCCAAGAAAAAGAATGGCAAAGAAGAGCTGAACCACTTTAAAAGAATCCACGCAAGACATTGGATTTGATGTGGAGATGATCTCCAACTTTTCTCACTCAATCACAAAGCTTCACATGCGCATCTGAGGCTTCTGACTTGGTGAACAGAGACCCACTGCTGATTACGAGAGGTAAGTGCCCCTCATCAGCAGAATCCCTTTAACAAGTGATCGTCGCGCAGTGAAAACACCAAAGTTGTCATTTTCATTCTCATCTCGACAGTCAATCTCTTGCACTTGATCTTTTCTGTTACAATTGAACCTTTTGTTCGGCATTTTATACTGTAAAAACGCGCCTTATTACCTAGTCTTATCGCAGCTAAAATGACGTACCCCCGTCCTGATTTCGAGCGTAACCCACTTCGTTGGGAGTCCCTCAACGGACCATGGGATTTCCTCTTCGATGACGGCGATTCCGGCCTCAACGAGAATTGGCAGCGTAAAGGCCTTCCAGAGAAGGTCAATGTCGACACCTCTGCCAACCGCAAAGAAACTGGTCAGAACGACAGCGTGGTACAGAAAATTATGGGTGATGCCCATTCTCTCATTCAGAACAACGTCTTCGCTTCATCTACGCAGACTACCAACTCAAAAACCAAAATCAACGTCCCCTATGTATTCCAATCTCCTGCTTCTGGTATCAATGACCGCGGAGTTCATGAGGTTATGTGGTATGAGCGTGCCATCTCAGATTTGCGATCAGCGCAAGAAAAGGACAAGGGTCACAAGCTGGTCTTGAGATTTGGTGCTGTTGATTACGAGGCTACTGTTTGGGTCAATGGAGAGTATGTCGGTGGTCACCGGGGTGGACACGTTCCCTTCGAAATTGACATCACTGATGCCGTGGATGCCGCTAAGGATGCTACAACTCACCGAGTCACTTTGCGCGTCTATGATTCGGCTTATGATCTTACACAACTTCGAGGCAAACAATACTGGGCTGCCAAGCCAGAGACCATCTTCTACACTCCCTCTGGTGGTATCTGGCAGTCTGTCTGGCTCGAGGTTGTTCCCAGTGCTCGTATTGCTGATAGCTCTTATGGCACTGTTATCAAGTCCAATGATATCCACTCTGGTGAACTGAGAAGCATCATCGTTGTGAAGGGACGAAGAATTGGAAAGGGCTATTCTGTCGAGCTTGAATCCAGCTTCGCTGGCATTCCTGTTGCCAAATCGGACAAGAAGGCTCTGCCCCGAGAGACGAGCTCCGTTGGCGTTGAACTGAACATGCGTCTGTCCGAGGAGCAGAGATCCAAGCTACCTAAATCTGTCAGCGAAAGTGCCCCTCTTGATAACGACTTTGCTTGGCGCGATGGTGTTGCACTCTGGTCTCCTGAGCATCCCCAGCTCTATGACCTCGTTATTCGCCTGTATGATGACGCCGAGAATGTCATAGACGAAGTCAAGACAACCACCGGCATGAGAAACATCAACTGGACAACAGGAGACGGTACCTGGCGACTCAACGGCAAGCCCTACTTCCAGGCTCTCTGTTTAGACCAAGGCTACTGGCCTGAGACCTTCATGACTCCTCCTAGCTCAGAGAGCCTCAAGCTGGATATTGAACTCGCAAAGAAGATGGGTCTCAACGGCTGCAGGAAGCACCAGAAGGTTGAGGATCCCCTCTTCTACTACTGGGCTGACAAGCTTGGTTTCCTCGTCTGGGGTGAGATTGCGAATGCTTATGCGTTCAGTGCCGAGTATGTTGATAGGTTCAACACCGAGTGGACTGAAGCTGTCAAGCTGGTTATCAACCGTCCATCAGTTGTGACGTGGACTCCTGTGAACGAAAGCTGGGCTTATCCTAACCTTGAGGATAACGTTGATCAGCGGAATCACATTCGCCAGCTCTACTATCTCACCAAGTAAGTACATCGGCTTCAGTTTCAGACTATGCTAACAGTTCTAGGGGTCTTGATGATACACGAAGTATCAACGATAACTGCGGATGGCAGCATGTCCTTACTGACCTAACCACATTCCATGACTATAGCGATGGCCCTGAGATCGAAAAGACCTGCTCCACTCTTGAGGGCATCATTGGCCCGAAGGCTGGTCGAGGCGTTTTCCTACCACCTATTCCTGGTGTTGACGATGGCTCTAAGCATAAGCCTGGCGCTCCAGTCATGAACACCGAATTCGGAGGTGTCAACATTGCACCAGCCAAGAAGGAAGATGGCGATAGCCTCGATTGGGGTTACACCACTGCCACCAACGCCGATGACCTGGTAGAGAGAATTGAGCGCCTCGTCAATGGCGTTGTTTTGGGAGGACATTGCTGTGCTTTCGTCTATACTCAGCTGTAAGTATGATTTAACTCCTGTGTTGATATGAGACTAATGGTATGCAGGGCGGATATTGAGCAGGAGGTCAACGGACTGTACACTTTCAACCGAGAGGAGAAGCTGGATGCTTCCAGGGTCAAGGCTGTGATTGACAAGGCCCTTGGTGCTTACTACAACAGGGTGAAATAAGGATCACGTCAGGTATGTTCTAGATAGTGCGCCGAGTTGAGGCTGGCCTCTGAATGCTTAGCCTCGAAATAGATATGATACGAATGATACATTCTTCGCATGATTACGATCCTGAGTCCCTCTTAGCTTCTGAAACAAAAACATATGTATAATTCCAAGTTCTTCAGCAAGCACAAACATACTATTTCGAAACCTACCGAGTCGACATATGCCTGTAGAAACAATCATGGGTTGATTTAGTCTTTGGCATTACTCGAATCTACTGCTATCCTCTTATGAGGCTGGCCCATGCACCTATTAAATGTTGAAACGATTCCCATTTTGCTTCCGAAACATACTTTCAGGCTATCAAATGCGGCGCCTGTATCCATGGTCCTTGGGATGATGCATCGGTCAAATTGCACAATCATGCTTACTATATGAAGCTCTAGTTGGGCGAACAATCAAGCTGACATATATATATCTACGCAAAATGGACTTTCGTGATCAGAGCATTGTGAAGCTGATTTTCTATTGCTGCACGCTGGGATTTCATGTCTATGTCAAGCCTCGACAAAGAATCGGATGATGTTTGCTTTTGTAACACAGTGCTAGTCCTCGCTAAGAACGCGGCCAGTCCGAGTTTGATAATCAATTGAAAATCACCAAAACAAGCCAAACTCGTTATGTAACATGACCAAAACGCTTCTCAATAATATCTTGGAGATTCTCACATAAAATCAAATCATTACAGCCTCGGCATTGACCATAATATGGCATCATGAGTTCATGACTGCGGGGATCGGGAAAAGAGCTGTCATATCACGTGATTTTACATGAGATCGGGTCGACTCACCAGGCTTAGACCCGACGCTCCATGATGTGGCTGGGGGGATCATCACCAGTTCAATCACGGCGCCAGACCCGGCTTTTTGCCCGCGGTTGGGAGCATCACTATCTTATCGCATCATCACAGTATATTATATCAGTTACGTTCCATCTAATTGTATGCTGTAGTCGCGCGCGCTTCCTCTCCCTCGCCTCGCCTCAGGCGCGATGCCTTCGACACGGCCGCCAAACGCGCAGTCGCCCATCGTCGATGTCGACAGCGCCCTCGATAACATCGACACCATTCGCATCCCCGAACCCCACGGTACATACTTACAAACACGCGGAGCTCGCGCAGCTCGTCGAATATACAAAGCTATGGGTGTCTGGCCATGGGACATCGTTCCCGAAGCACCTCCTAAGATGTGGGCCATCAATCTGCTAGAGGATCTCGCCCTTGTCGCAGACCATGTTGCCAGAAATCCAGGCGATACACTGCAAGACCTTCAATCAGAGCTTCGGAAGTCTCTTGCGCGCGACCGCAAACCTTCTTATGCTGGAAAATTGATGGCGCAAGATGTCCACGCTGCAAAGAAGCGATTCGTTCGAACAATGCCTCAATCACCCGATGCTCAAGACGACACTGGTGATGATGCTGGTACTGCCGAGCGACGGTCCGGGCGACGGCGAAGAACCGCAAACTATAGCGCTCCAGACTCGCCAATTGACCCATCGCGATCGCGTCGAGATACTTCTTCAGAGGAGAGCGAGGAGCACATGGCCTCGTCTATTACCGTCGCCTCAGAGTTTCCTCCATCTCCCCCCGTACCTCGCAACATCAAGCATCTCAAACGACCAGCCACAACAATACCTACGCCGATTGAGAAGCGTGTCCGTCATAGTTCGCCAGAAGGTTCGCGCCTGTCAGCTGCGCAGAGCCTCATGATGTTTAGCTCTCCAATGGCTACGTTCCAAATGGCCACATCTTTCGGCCCAAATGCAACTGTATGTTTGCTCGATACGCGATGAGTCCTTATGCTAATACATTGATAGGCCAATGCTACTCGCTCCCTCGAACCGAATAATCTTCAGGAAGCGTTAAAACCTGCGACCAATGTCTTTGTCGCAGCAATTGACGCACACGTCCGGACGATACGTTCCTCGCTTGCTATTGCTCAACAGGAAATCTTTCCACATAGGTCCAGATCTCAAGAAGCTATGAGCAAACTTCGCGCCGCCCAACTGGGTGTGCAAGCGATCCAAGATGATATAGCTGAGTCGCAAGACAGGCTGCGACGACTTGTCGAAGAATCCGTCGCCGAGGACGCTCTTGCGCCACAGCTCCATGCACTCCAAGAAAACAACATGTCTTTACCGCCGGAAATCGCACAAGCAATACGAAGCTATGAG